ATTCACCTAGACGGAGGTAGTACAACTTTGCTTTCTCTTCACATTTATTACATGTCACATCATCACTATGTCCTATGTGGCAAATTTACCAACACCTATCTTACAATTGTTGGAGATGCCCTAACGAGGAAAGAAGTGGCCCTGCGTGGTGGAGGCGAAGCCGTTGCGTCAGGGGTGTGTGGGCCAGTAGAAGTGCTTGTCGGCCTTGGCCGTCTGCGTGGAGGTGATGGTATGTGCTGCTACAGACGAAAGCCTTGTCGGCGGGCGGTGACGGCGCCCACGTTGCTATGCTCCTTAGAGGCGCCGTTGTGTTGATGTTCATCATCTACTTTCAAATCGAGATCTTCGGGCGAAAGTCTAGACCCTTCTAGGTCGTGCAACGATGTCGCGTCTACCGCGTTTCTCTGTTTGGGGCGTTGCTTTGAAGGCTGGTGATCCTTTCCCGCACTTTCCTTGGGTTGGACGCACATGGCACCCCGGTTCGTAGAAGGTCAATCAGTCATGCAAGTGGTTGGTGTTGCGACTTGTGCGGTGACGACGATGGTGACATGCAAAGTTGGGTCGTTGTTTGTTCTTTTGATGCCGGCGGTCCGGTTCGCCAATCAGTGTGCATATGCTTGGTACTCGCTGTGATAGATAAGTCGGAGGTGCGTGCGGCGGGGTCCCCTACGGCAACGATGACTCCATGAGGGTGGTTTCAGTGGACGGTGCACTCCGAGTGTTTCGTTGGAGTAGGTCAGTGCGAGGCTTGCAACTTTGCGCTATGATGCACATCAGCAAAATCGAAGCTGCCGGTCCTCGACGTTTGCGGTCGATTCTTTGGCTTCTTTGGCCAGCAAGGTCTTGTGTGTCGCTTGTTCAAAGGGGTTTTGACAGGTCGTTTGCGGCGAGGTCATAGTCGCCTGCTTGAGGAGTGGTGATGACGATGACATGGCCGGCAACCTCTACGGTGTCCTCTTTTCGGAGGTGTGTGTGCTCTTGTTGGTGCTAGGTCGACCGGGGTGCCCATTTTATAGGCATGTTGTAACGGTTTTCGTTACTTACGGACAATTCTATTCTGCCTTTTTTTTATTGAATTGGGCGCTAAAAGATCGTGTTTTGAAAAGAAAAGTCCTGCTAACGTGTTTGAGTTTTAGCATGAACATTTTCACCAATAATTATATCTTTAGCTTACTGGAAACAGCGTCGGTACCTGTGTCAAAAGAGTTCCTCGATCGATCTCTCTTAGCTTTGATCATAACGCACCGCAGAGTTCATCGGTCCAGAACCAAGCTGGCTTCTTCTGATAGGGTTCCACGACAGGTTAACGAGATCCTGAACTTCTATTTTGGACTTGCATAGAGGTCGCGGATTCAACCTACTGCGTTTGCAGAGTAGTTATGCATGTGACATGTTTTCTTTTCTTTTTTACGGTACGGTGAACAGTAAACAAATCCAATGCACGTTATGACTGCAGGGGAAGCATGTGATGGAGCCCCTAAAATTACCGCAACCTTGGCTTTATAATATTGTTGAGATGAATAAGCTCTCTGCCCGTTGTAATGGAGGACCACGTGAGATGCCTCGAAAGACAATAAAAAGACCAGCCTTATCGCACAAAAAGAGTATTTAAAACCAGCCTTGGGACGATTTGTCTGCACGCATTTTTGGGCATTGAAAGAGAATCCTATGATTCGTTCGTCGCACCAATTAAGGCGTTATCATACACACGCTAGGAGGGTCTACAGCACGACATCTCAAACCTGCCTCAAACGTTCAGATGACGGCCCGGTCACTGACCAATCGAAAAAACCATCAGACGGGCGCCTCAAACGGGGCTCAGATGTCTGGGATGACGGGCACTCCTCAAATCCAGTCCAAATATGATGCGGATATGAAGAGGTTCGTGCACGTCCACCAAGTCTGACCCGACAAGCCTACCCCACCACAAATTACATCCAATGAATCATATACCATTTCCCCTCCTCCTACCTCCCTCCACC